GGGGCGGGCGGGGGGAGCGGTGCTCGGGAAGAAGGAGCGAGACGCGGGAGAAGCGAGGAGGCGCGGGAAGCAGGTGCCCCTACCCTGGCCGTGCCCGGGACACCTGCTGTAGCCACGGGGAGAAGAGCGACATGCTGCCCTGTGTCTTCTCTACTGGCTTCTCCCATCTCCAGCCCTCCTTGCTCTATGTGATACCAGGTTCTGCTCTTTATACTCTTTGTCACAGCAGAGCCAGCCCCACCTTGTTTTCTGCTCTTCTCTGTCATCCTCCCCTGCCTTCGTTTTCTACTCTTCCTTTCCTGTTTTCTTTTTTCCCCACCTTCTCCTTTCCCTTTGTTTTTGAATCTCACGGCTGTTTTCCTCACCCGCCCGCCCGCCCAGCGGAGCTGTTTCGCCTTCAGAATCGCCCACTTATTCATTCATTCCTCTCTTCAGATACCATTCGCTCTCCCACTCACCTGCCCATTCATTCAGTCTCCCTTTCACACGCTGTTAACTGATTCTGTCCCCCTCTCTCACTTTCATTGATGCTCTTTCACTGAATACATATATTTCATTGAATACACTTAGGGATGTGGCCTGCACTACATACTGCTCCTGGTACAATTCAGTTCTGCCAAAAACTGACCCGGTAGCAGCAAAACCCCTTTTTTCTTTTGGCAGAGCAACACCAGAGGGACAGAAGACAGATTCTGCCACTGTAGGGAAGCTACCACAAGCCACATTTTATGTAAGCGGCGCATAAGGGCGGCATAGCAGGGCACGTGCCCCCCCCTGAGATTGGCCACTGCCAGCTTCTGGCAGTCCCCGCTCACCACTGCCGGCAGCACAGATGGTGGCTGCAGGTGCTCGCCGCTTGCCACCCCACCCTCGCCGTTGACACCCTTGTGGCCACCTGCGGGCGGTTCCCGCTCGGCCCGCCCTTGCCACCAAGGTCACTGCGGCTGCCTGCAAGGAGTACCCGCTGACCACCACCATATCCCTGCCGCCATCACTACTAACGCTGCCTGTGGGTGGGTGCGGGGAGCCCCCCGCGCCCGCG